CCCCCCACCCCGCCCACTCCTCTCTTCCACCAATCCTCTCTTTTTTCTCTGGTTAGGTTTTTTTTTTTCGCGATTGTCTCTGGCGACCGGAAGATTCAGAATTTGAGCTCTCCAGATCAAGATTATTCATCCTGTAAGCTTTCTATTGATCTATGTTTCGCATATATCAGTACTGCTTTTTTACTTCTTTTTTTGATTTTTTGGTTTAGGGTTTGTTTCAAGGTTATTGCGCAAGTTTTGTACTTTATATTTGTAGACTGTGATCATTTTGTGTATGGCTTTATATGTTTTTTAGGTTGTCTTTAGAACAATTATAACGTTGAACATTGAATTGGGCGTGAATATAGGTAGAGTTCATTGTTGAAGAAGAGCGAAGAAAGGAGGGTAGAATTGATATTTTGGTGTGTGTGTGTGTGTGTGTGTGTGTGAGGTGGTGTTGGTGATCAGATCTTGAGAGACTGTTCATATATGGTAGTTTTGAGGTTGAAAGGAGTTAAGAAGGGTAAATCTGTGGTTTTACTTGTGTAGTTGAGGAGGAGTAGGAGTGAGGAGGGTGGTTCATGTGGTAGAGGGATTTCAGCAGCACCTTAGGAAGTTCATTCTTGTATTGTTTTATGACATTTTGGTATACAGTAGAGACCTTTCTGAACATGTGGAGCACCCGAGGATTATTTTTAGGTTGTTGCTTCAACACCAGCTGTATGCCAGACAATCGAAGTTCTGCAATCACAGTGGAGTATTTGGGGCACTATATTTCTGCTAAAGGTGTTGCTACTGACCCTAAGAAGATCTTAGTAGTACAGAAATGGCCCACTCCCACCACCCTCAACCAACTCAGAGGTTTTATGGAATTAGCAGGGTATTGTAGGAGGTTCATCAAGGGTTATGGAGTTATTAGCAGACTTCTTACTGATTTGTTGAAGAAGGATTGCTTCAAATGGATTAATGAAGCCACTCATTCCTTCGAGGAATTGAAGAGGGTGTTGACTTCAGCCCTAGTTTTAGCTTTGCCTAATTTTGATAATCCCTTTATAGTGGAAACTGATGCTTGTGACATGGTTCTGGGTGTTGTACTGATGCTTCAAGGGCAGCCAATTGCCTATTTGAGTAAGGCATTATCAGTCAAGCACTTATCTTCTCTGTATATGACAAGGAACTCTTAGCTTTAGTAATGGCGATTACCAAATGGAGTCAGTACTTGATAGGCAGACAGTTTGTGGTTCGAACTGATCAGAAAGCATTGAAGTTTTTGCTTGAACAACAACTAAATATAGGGTCTCAACGTAAGGGATCACCAAACTTATGCAATTTGACTTTGAAATTGAAATAAGAAGGGCAAAGAGAACAAGGCTTCGGATGCCTTATCTGGAGTTCCTACAGTTGAACTGGCAACTTTGTTTTTGTCCACTATGAGGACTAATCTACTGGATTCTATCCAAGACAGTTGGAGACTTAATCCAGAGATGCAAGCACTTATTCTCCAATTACAATCCAAACCAGAGGAATGTAAGGGATACAGTTTCATTAACCAGCAACTCAGAAGACATGGGAAGTTGGTTGTAGGTGCTGACTTAGACTTGAGGTCAGAAATTATTACATTGTGGCACTCCTCTCCTCAGGGAGGACACTCGGGGTGGATAATACTTACAGGAGAATCTCGGCTATTTTTTACGGGAAGGGTCTCAAAGAGGTTGTTACCACCTTTGTCAGAAAAGTAATATGACACCTCAGCTTAGCCTGATTTACTCCAACCTCTTCGAATTCCTCTCATTGCTTGGAGTAGTATCAGTATGGATTTACAGAGGGTCTTCCTAATTCTAAGGGAAAGTCAGTTACCTGGGTGGTTGTTGATAGGCTTACCAAGATGCACACTTCATCTCCCTGTCTCATCCTTATTCTGCTAGTGAGCTTGTAAAATGATAGTACATCTACAAATTGCATGGGATGCCTGCTGATATTGTCAGTGATAGAGATCCAATATTCACCAGCAAATTCTAGCAAGAACTCTTTTCAATCCAAGGGGTTACTTTGAGCACTTCCATGGCTTATCACCCACATTTTGATGGGCAGACTGAGGTGCTTAATAGGTTTGGAAACTTATTTGGTCTCTGTTCCTCATTTTTGCAGAATGGTGGTACAATACCAGCTTTCATCCATCCATCCATTGACTCCTTATGAAGCTCTTTATGGACAACCTCCTCCTCTTCATCTTCCTTATATGGCAGGGGATTCTGCTTATGAAGATATTGACAGAATTTTAGTCACTAGGGAACTTAAGTTTCATCATCTCAAACATCACTTAGCTAGGTCTCGGCAGAGGATGGTATCCCGGGCTAACAATCACAGGTCTGACAGGCAGTTTAGTGTTGGTGATTGGGTGTATCTGAAAGCTCAACCCTATAGACAAGTTACTTTGTCTACTCATCACTTCAATAAGCTGTCCTACAAGTATTATGGACCATATATGATTACTGAGAAGGTTGGCCAGGTTGCTTATAAATTAGCCTTACCCTTTGAGTTGCAGCTGCATCCTACCTTCTATGTAGAGGTGTCAAAATGGTTAAAAGAAACCAGTTATCCACCCATATTATCCATAAAAAATAGGTTGGATAATGAACCATTTCAAAACGGGTCGAATATGGATAAAGAACCGTACTATCCACTTAGAAAATGGTTAACCAAATGGATAACCAATGGATAACTAATATGTTTACCTTTTACATTTGTAAAGCCTCAAATTGGAGTTCCTCAAGTTTGGAAGACTAGGAATTCTCTCATAAGTGATCATATTTAAGAAGCCATGGATATCCATATTATCCGCCGGATAAACCCATTTTTATCCATCTCAAATACGGGTCGGGTCGGATAATTTATCCGTTTTTTTTAAATTACCTGTCTTGACTCGCTCATATCCGACCCGCCCGTTTGCCACCCCTACTTCCATGTGTCCTTGCTGAAACCTTGTCATGAACTGCCTAAGCAGGCCACTCACCCTCCTTATTAGACATTGCTAATCTGTATTGACCTCAGCCTGTTAAAGTGCTCCAACGTAGGATGGTTCAGAAAGGAAATAAAGTTGTTACTCACTGGTTTTCAATGGGGCAGGTTACTGAGAAATTGTAACCTGGGAAGATGCTTTTGTGGTGAAGGCTCGGTTTCCTGCATTTCTTCCTTGAGTTCAAGGAAGCATGGGAGACGCAATGATATGATATTATTTGGTATAATTAATAGAAGCTGTACAGCAGTGGCTTCCGGAGCAGTACTTAGTTTGTTGAGTCAGTTGTAATACGTGTCAGCTTGATTGCAGAATAATCTTTCTATCTTTCTTTATTAATTTCCTTATTTCCACTTTAGTCATTCTTCGCTTTCCAGTATATCTACTCTGTAAAATCATTTCAGAAGGTTATGAATGAAGTGTTTGCCTAAACTAAATTAAGTATAACTCGAGAAAGAGAATCGGTATTTAATCTATAGGTTTCCTCTCTGGTGCCGTTCCTCCTCCTCTACCTCTGGTCATCTCTGATTAGGTAATTCCTGCTAAGCAACCGGTATTGATATCATTCACGGTTGCTGCCAACTCCCCCTAGGTAATTGTATGATTTTCCTAGGTAAAAGAGCTCATGACCAATTATATAGTATGATTTATTGAAGGAATTATAATTATGGAAGTTCATTTGAATCGATGGGTGATGCAAGATGGAACTGATAATATAGGTAAAGTAAAGCTAATTGAAGAAGGAAAGAAAAAACTATAGAGGAAATTAAGCAAACACTTCATTCATAACCTTCTCGAATGACTTTAAAGCGAAGAAGGACTAAAGTGGAAATAAGGAAATTAATAAAGAAAGATAGAAGGACTATTCTGCAATCAAGCTGACGGGTATTAAAACTGACTCAACAGTCTAAGTACTGCTTCGGAAGCCTCCCGTATAACTGTTGCCCAACTTCTATTAATTATACCAAAGAATATCGTATCAATGGGCGTGTTGAGACGGAACACTTTGGGGCATCTTTCATGATTATATTGGAAGAATGAGTTATATGTTCGCCATGTTTTTTATTGTATATTAAGAAGGTTGGATTGATTGGACCAGTTGATTTGCATACCCTTTCTTTAATAATTGGTTACGTTGTTGAATGCAAAATGCCTCTCTACTCTTTCGGGGTTGGGGTAAGGTCTGCGTACACTCTACCCTGCCCAAACCCCACTTGGTGGATTTTACTGGGTTGTTGTTGAATGCAAAGTGAGCCATGGGATTATGGTGCAGTGGTTTAGTTAAAATGAGCTGCAAAAAGGAAGAAAAGTCGACAATAAGAATGAAAATCTGGAATGCATAATATATTATGCATTCCATATTTTTTTTTCTTATTCTCAAAAAAAAATAATATGGAATGCATAATATATGGTGCAATGGGTTAGTTAAATAAGTGGTTGAAAATAAAATGTGCTGTGCCTTTATAGAGTTGTTATGGAGGTTCCAGTACTTGATCCCAGCTGTTATTTGGTCGGGAAAAAATCTAAGATGTTTCACTACCTAAAAAACTTGTTTCCCTTATGCTTTAATCTTTTGTCTTCTTGATTCTTGTTCTTATGATTTTTCTTAATTTATGGAGAAAGGGAAGTATTTATTTGGAAAATTATCTTACTTCAGTAGGTTTTGAAGTCAACGGAAGAAGATGCATCCCCCTTTGACTCTACATAGGCACCCGTTATGTGCTGATGTAAGTTTTCACATTCTTAATAACTAGAATGATTGCTCATTTTATTATGTCAATTTATGGTAGATACTTGCGCCAAGTGGTTTTGTTCCCTTCTGTTTTTCTCTTTCTTGTTTTGCTGATAGCCATTTTACAGCTGGACAATGCATTTTGCAGGTTTTCTTGGTGAAGTTATAATATAGCATCTGTTTTTGCATTTAGAAGATGCATATACTTTTCTTGTTGCAAATTGATTTAAATGGCTGTTTTTTTGCATGTTGTTATTTGCATTGACATGTAGTCTCTATGTATTGCTGGTCAATTTGTTTTTTCCCGGTAAATGTTAAGAAATAAGTGTCAAAAGCATCTCAAATACATTATGAAGATGGCTAGGTCTCTGGTGCAGATTATTGAGGAGTTTCAGAAGTGTCATACAGACCACCCACTAGGAAAATTCCTTGGGCAATGCACAGATCTGAAGATAAAGCTTGACCGGTGCTTTAGGCAGGAGGTAAGTCTTCTTGCTTTACCTATTAGGAAATTGTATGATTTTGAAAATATCTTCTTCAATGTTCCCCGTGTATGAGTCAATATAAAAGAATGTCCTCCTGCAGAAAGCTATAAAGAGGAAGGCGAATTTTGAGCAGAGCAAGAAGTTGAAGGAGAGGCTCCAGGCTTACAGGAAGGAAACTGCTGACTTGTAATCAAGATGGTGATAGGAGGTTTGTTTCCGGACATTGTTTTGCATCTCAACTCATGAACAGAAGTTTAGCTGCTGGGGTTGATCGAAGAAAGATTCGTGAATAGAATTGTTGTTTGTCTATTCTGATGTCTTCATGGATCTCCCTTGTTTAAGTCAGTTGAAGTGAAATAAGATGTATATACACAAGAACTGATAAACTTTATAAGAGCAACTTATCCGACCATTCTATCAGGGTAGAAGTGGGGATCCAGGATTTGAACTTTATTGGTTCAAGTTCGGAATGCTACAAGTCTACTACAACTCATTTTATTTATTGTGTTCGAAATCTATTACTTGTTTAGTGATTTTTTTAACGCATATATAGGGTCTGAGCCAATGCTATTGGGTTAATGAATCCATTACATATACACTGCATCTGCTCTGCCTGGGAAGTGTTAAATCAAAGTACTGAATTGATTGTGTGAACTGATAGAAGTGAAGTGATTTGGTTCTTTTGAGTTTTTCTCTAACCTTTCTATTAGGAATGGCAGGCGGGACGGGTTTTGTCTGAACCCGCGAAATTTAAACCCGCCCCGCCTAGGATTTAAACCCGCATTCATCCGCCCCGCACTTCACCCGTTTTCACACACCCCGCATGCCACCCGCATTTTTTTTTTTGTAAAAATTCTTTCTTTTTTAGAAAACTAGATTTAAATTTGATTTTTTTTAATAAAACAATTAATTATATCCAAATTGTTCTTAAATTCCCATCTTTTGCCTGTAAATCTAGTGGTTTTTCCGATAGAAATTGAACGAAGCAACTCGATTCATAGGTGATTTTGTGAATATTCCCTAAATACTTTATCAAGACTCTTGCACCAATTATTGGTGAAAAGCCCCAAAATCCCTCACACCAAAACGAAATAACTACTCCTGCTGCTTTTATTTATCCAAAAAAAAAAAATACTCCTAAAGAAATTGGAACAAGTCAACATGGTGGTAAGTATAAGAAAAAGAGAGAGCCGGATAATCACTTGATCGCCGAAAGTTGGAACTGCCTTACTTCTCATCTATCCATTTATAAAATTAAATCCCCACCCGCGACCCGCCCCGCTTTTTTTTTTTTTAAATTTAAAAATTGAACCTGCCCCGCAACCGCAAAATTTCAAACCCCGCCCCGCCTCGCACCCGCACCGCCCCATTGCCATCCCTACGTTTCTATTACCTGTTCTTGAGTTTTGGAAACAGAGTAATATGGGGAAAGAAAGAGATGATAAAAAAATCCTACGTGAGAATAAACATAGTTTCGTTTGGAATTTAAAGAACCAAATGTGAAGGAAAAAAACTGTGTTTAATCAATATTTTCCTTTGTTCCTGTATTATGGATTCAAGTACACTGTAAATAAATTGTTACAGCATACTACAATTTGTAAGCCAAGTTTCTTTTGGAACTTGGAGCCTGGAGTGCATACTCGCAACTCTAATAAATTTGTGTCGAGGGCAAGTTGGCCAGTTGAATGAACAATTGCCATAATTTGTTCCACAAAAAGGTATTATAAACTTTCATAGTTTTGATGGGATGGCCAATGTGGTCTTAAATGGACTGTTTCTGTAAGTTAAGTGTAAGTAGCATTCCTGCTGTTGTGGCACTCAAAGGGGAGAAAGGGAGAAATAGAAAAGCTCTAAAATAGGGGAGGAGGTAAAAATGATTGTAATCCTGTCAGAAATGATTGTATTCCTCGAGTAAATATAAAAAAAAAAATGTTCAGACTTCCAGTTTTGTTCCCTTTTAGAAGTTCACAGCTAGTGGTAAATAAGCACCAATATGAGAGGTGAATCCATTATTTAAGCTTTATAGTATCGACATTAAACTTTTAGCTTTGTATCCACTCATATTTTTATAATTATGGGCTCCAATCAACGATTTGTTTACAATTTTAGTGAAAAAAATTATTTAGATAAACTTTATCTAAACAATACTAGGTTTAGATTTATGTTTAAAACTTTTGCACATAAATTTATGTCCGACGTAAAAAATACTGGGTTTAAATAAACTTGCTGCTGCAATGCTGCATCTACCATTATTAGTTTGTGGACACTTTTTCTGTTGAAATTAATTCTGAAATAGGCATTGATATAAAAGCAAATAAAAGATGCCAAAATGGCGACATATACTTAAGAGAGTCACCCTCTCCGTACAAAAATCAAAGGGCTCCTAATAGCAGCACTGTATAGAGGACAACAGTTGTGGGTCTCTTTGGCGATATCACATGTCTAAAGAGAAGCTTTCATTGGTTACTCTAATATTCTTTTTCAAATTTAAAGGATGCTTTAGCATATTTATCCCTTCCCATTGGTTTTCAATTGATTCAAATTGACATCATATAAAACAAAAAACACAAACGCATGAATTGCTTTGAGACTCAACTTTGATGAAACTTGAACATTCCCCTCTCTTTTCAAAAACTATCTTGATTTAGGTGCTGAGTTAAATTTAACTTATTATTTTTTGCAGAAAAGAAAGACCTAAATGTCAAAAATTACTAAAAATATCTAGAGTTATGAACTCATAATTTTAAGAATGCAATGAAAATAGAAAGATTTAACTCGTGTTTAGATTTTAGATCAATTTAGTCTTAACATGCTATCTACCAGACCAAAACTTTGTTGCCTCCATAAGCTAATTTTTCCCCCCACCGCATCCATAAGCTAAGTAGGCGTTTGGACATAAAAATCGTATTTTTTTTAAAAAAAAGTAGTATTTGTAGTTAAGTTAAAAAATAACATTTGAAATTTGAAATTATGTTTGAATATGCATTTCAATTGAAAAAATATTGCAGTTTTGTGAGTGGGCAAAAACTTTTTCCGAAAATTTTGAAAAAGTGATCAAAATCATCTTTCTAGTTTTTAAAAACTTATTTTCGAAAAATTTCCAAAAATTTCATAGATAAGCATATTTTTGAAAGAAAAAAGGGCAAATGAAAAAAAAATTATGAATAAACGGGCCCTAAATTACTCATGAGCTAAAAATCTATTTCCTCCTTTACCACTCCAAGCCCAAGGGGAAGGGGTTAAGAAAAACTCTTTTGACATGTCAAAAGAAAGAAGAAGAAGAAGAAAGTATTAGGAACTAACTGATCTCAATTCCTTATGAAGTAATCTGGTAAAGGTATGAAAATTGGCAATAATGAAGAGGTGATCTAGCCTTTCTATTCGTTTTATTTATATTCTTTAACTTAACAGAAACTGGTGCTTCCTTGAGTAATCAAACTGCATAAAAAGAACCGTTTGAAATAGTTGAAGCACATTTGAACTCACTTCGGGGGCATCAACTGGATTAAGAAATATTCTTTGATTAATACATTGCTAAATTTTGTGCTATTATATCATTTTTAATGTTTGATATATATTGCCTGTTTAATATGGTATAAACTGTTTTCGAAGAACCAGATAGGCAGATAGTCTCCAATTATCACTTGTCCCTCCTGAGTATAAAAATAAATATTTGTCGAGAGCTTTTGTCCAATGATAATTGTTAAGGGAGGGAGAGTGTGTTGATTAGACTCATGTTTAAAATTTAAGTGAAGAATATAAAACTTGATACTTAAGAGACGAATATAAAACTTAATATTTAAGTAGAGAAGAATATAGTGGCGATGTCATTATTCCCACCAGGTTTCCAACGCCGAGATACTTATGTTAAAAGATTTCTCAATTATATAAAAGGTTAAGAAAGCAAATATGAAAAAAAAGTAAATAATTAACTGGCGACTTGCACGGACTGCAGGGTCATCCCGAGTGAGAACCTCTCGACCCTTCATAGGCTCCTGGTCATGGACCTTGAGATCACAAGGAAGTGAAGGAAGAGGGCGATGTATAACCAACATAGGATCAAGTGGAGAGCCTTGACGGAAGCTAAAGTGCAGGAGTTGAAGGTCAAGCTGGTGACTATGGGGATGTGGAGGACTAGTGGGGACACGAGCGCTATGTAAACCACGACTGTGCAGTGCATTAGGGAAGCCACGAGAGAGGTATTAGGGGTCTCAAAGGGTTACTCTGGTGATCACAAAGGAGACTGGTGGTAGAATGGAGAGATGCAAGGAAAAGCGAAAACCAAGAAAGCAGCATATCTGAAGCTAGTGGAAAGTGTAGATGATGAGGAGGAGAGGGCGAATAAGGAGCATTCTAAGTTGGCTAAAAAAGAGGCAAAGCTAGCAGTTATGGCGACCAAGACTGCAACTTTTTGTCGTTTGTATGAGGAACTCAACGGCTGAGGTGGGGATAAGAGGTTGTTCAGGTTAACTAAGACGCGAGAAAGGAAGCGTGAGACTTGGACCAGGCGAAATGCATCAAGGACGAAGAAGGTAGAGTTTTGTTGGATGAGGGGCTTATTCGTCGGAGATGGCAGACCTGCTTCCATAGTCTCTTGAACGAGGAGGCGGACAAGAGCATTGTACTGGGTGATTTAGAACTCTCTGAGAGTCGTTGTGACTTTGGGGTATTGTAGGCGGATTAAGTTGATGAAGTTGAGGAGCTATGCGTAAGATGATCAGTGGCAAAGCGACAGGGCTGGATGAAATCCCCATGGAGTTTTGGAAGAGTGCGGGTAAGACAGGCTTGGAGTGGCTCACTAGGTTATTTAATGTCATTTTTAGAACGAAGAAGATGCCCGATGAGTGGAGGTGGAGCACGATAGTTCATGTATACAAGAACAAGGATGATATCCAAAATTACAATAACTATCGAGGTATCAAGCTGCTTAGTCATAATATGAAAGACTGGGAGAGAGTAGTAAAGCTAAGGGTGAGGATGAGTGTGTCTATTTTCGAGAACCAGTTTGAGTTTATGACGGGGGCGTTCGACTACAGAAGTCATCCACCTTGTTAGGAGATTGATAGAGCAGTATAGGGAGATAAAGAATGACTTGCATATGGTGTTCATCAACTTAGAAAAAACGTACGATAAAGTTTCGAGGGAGGTTTTGTGGAGATGTTTGGAGGCTAGAGGTATACATTTTTCCTATGTTAGGTTGATTAAGAACATGTATGATGGAGTAAAGACCCGAGTGATAACGGTTGATGGGGACTCAGACTATTTTTTCGGTTATGATGGGGTTGCATCAGGGGTCGGCACTCAGCCCTTTTTGTTTGCTCTGATGATGGACATACTGACGCGCCACATCCAAGGGGAGGTGCCATTGTGCATGCTATTTGCAGATGATATTATACTGATTGACGAGACACGAGACGGTGTGAACACGCAATTAGAAGTATGGAGGCAGACCCTGGAATCTAAAGGTTTCAAGTTGAGCAGGACTAAGATAGAATACTTGGAGTGTAAGTTCAGTGGCGAGTCTCAAGGAGGGGAAGGGGAGGTGAGGCTGGACTCGCATGTCATCCCTAGGAGAGGGAGTTTTAAATACCTTGGGTCTATTATTCATGGGGATGGGGAGATTGTTGGAGATGTCACACATCGTATTGGAGCGGGATGGATGAAATGGAGATTTACTTCCGGTGTTTTGTGTGACAAGAATGTGCCATCGAAACTTAAGGGTAATTCAACAGAGTGGTGGTTATACCAACAATGTTGTATGAGGCTGAGTGTATGGCCAGTTAAGATCGCTCATGTCCAGAAGATGAAGGTAATAAAGATGAGGATGTTGAGATGGATGTGGGGGCACACTAGGTTAGATAGGATAAAAAATGAGGTTATTTGCGATAAGGTGGGTGTGACCCTTATTGAGGACAAGATGCAGGAAGCGCGACTTAGATGGTTTAGTCATGTGAGGAGGAGGAGCACAGACGCACCGGTGATGAGGTGTGAGGGGTTGACATTGGAGAGCTTATAAAGATGTAGAGGTAGGCCAAAGAAGAGGTGGGGAGAGGTGATTAGGTAAGACATTGCGCAGCTTCAGCTGACCGAGGACATGACCCTTGATAGGAAGATTTGAAGGTCGAGGATTAGGGTAGTAGAGTAGGTAGTCTAGAGTGTTCATAACAGTAGCATTGACATACAATCTCGCTTTCTGTTGGTAGTAGGTTTTTATGACTAACAGTTATTTTTCATTGTTGATTATCTTACTGTCTTGTTGTTTTTATTCTGCTTTTATATGACTTTTTGGTATTGTCCCTTCTTGTTTATATTTTCATTAATATGTTGCTTATGCTTTCGTGAGCCGAGGGTCTATTAGAAACATCTTCTCTATCCTCACAAGGTAAGAATAAAGTCTGTGTATACACTATCCTCTTTAGACCCTACAATATGGATATTACTGGGTATGTTGTTGTTGTTGTAATTAACTAGCGACTTGATTAGAGCAGAGTTCCAAACCGGAGGGATTTTTTTTTATCTCGGTTCAAACCAAGGAAATTGTTTGTATTAATTTTGGGCATACTTCTTTGAAAGTATCTCAAATAATTCTGTCATATTATTTGCTGAAATTATCACATTATTGTCATTTTTAATACTGAAATTGACCCTCAAAACATTTTATCACCATGCAGTATCTCACATTTGCTGTCACCTTATTTAAGTTTAACCAAATACCCGAAAAATTAATCTACAATTTTTTTAATAACTATATATAAAAAAAAATCTACTTTACACACATTGACGATATAACAACTGTTTACACGATCAATTAATACAATTTAAACTATTATAATAAGTTAGTTACATTTTATAAAGTTATCTATTAACATTAATGATTAAAATTCACTTGCCATTAAACTGATTTTATTTTATAAATACTTCATAGACAAAGCTGTATAAAAGAATATTTACATTAATTTAAAAAAAACAGATTATTTATAATGCGTAGATGAAAGAGAGAGAAAAATATTTATTCTACAAAACCAACGAATGTATGATGTAATTCCAGGGTGTGAAAGTCCATTCGACTGTCACTATTCTAACTTTTTAATTAATGAATTAATGAATTAAACAAAAAAAGGAATAGAGGAAAAATCAAAGTTAGAACATTCACCGTAAACGCCGCCACGGTCAGGTTGCCAACTAGGCTCGGAGCATTCCAAAGCTAGAGGCTCGTAATCATCCAGCTGTATACAGCCTGTTATTTTATTTTTATTTTCTCTTATTTTTCTGTGTCCCATTAAACATTACTCCTTACATTATAATCTCAATAATAATTTCCATTTCTGGGTTTGGTTTATTCGCTGGCGACAGCCTGTTTCCAACAAAGCTCCCCCCTACCACACTACCCCCGCCCCCCTCTATCTTCTCCCCCATTTTTCCCCTCACTCCTCTCTTCCACCAATCCTCCCTCTTTTTCCTCTGGTTAGGTTTTTTTTTTTCGCGATTCTCTCTGGCGACCGGAAGATTCAAAATTTGAGCTCTCCAGATCAAGGTTCTTCATCCTGTAAGCTTTCTATTGATCTATTTTTCGCATATGTCAGTACTTTTTTTGTTGATTTTTGGTTAGGGTTTGTTTCAAGGTTAATGCGCAAGTTTTGTACTTTATATATGTAGATTGTGATCATTTTGTGTATGGTTTTGTATGTTTTTTTAGGTTGTCTTTAGAGCAATTATAACGTTGAACATTGAATTGGGCGTGAATATAGGTAGAGTTCATTGTTGAAGAAGAGCGAAGAAAGGAGAGTAGAATTGATATTTTGGGGTGTGTGTGAGGTGGGGTTGGTGATCAGATCTTGAGAGACTGTTAATATATGGTAGTTTTGAGGTTGAAAGGTGTTAACAAGAATAAATCTGTGGTTTCACTTGTGTTGTTGCTGTTGAGGAGGAGTGAGGAGGGTGGTTCATGTGGTAGAGGGATTTCAGGTCTCCATGCTGTCAGAGAGCATGCGTGCAATTTGTGGTTTGGGTAATGCCCCATTCGAGAGTTGCTAGTGATGCACTAGGTGTATTTACTATTTTGCTTGTTTCTATTTTGGTACTTTTTGGGTTGTTCTGCATCTTGTACTTGGTCTACCTTCACACGAGGATTTACGGGCAAGGTTATATTCAGCTTGGCTATTTTAATGGTCCTTGGATTATCCGTATTACGTTTATATTGTTTGCAATTTGGTGGGGTTTTGGGGAGGTTGTTCGGCTCAACTTGTTCAGAGGCGACGGGAGATTGTTGAATGCTCTTAGCTTCAAATGGCAGGAAACTGTTTGCAAGTGTTACATTGTTTCGAGCTTAGGTTTTGCAGAACCTTGCCTTTACCTTACGGTCGTGTTTCTCCTTCGGGCGTCCTTACAGAAGTCGGGAACTTTAGGCCAGAAATGGAATGGCAAAACAGCTGGATATATACTTCTCTTTTGCCTACCGGTTTTTGCTCTACAGCTCATACTTATTACGGCTGGACCGCAATTTAAGAAGGATTACATTAGCAAATTGCCGCATTATTTCACTAGTCCAGTTAAGCGATCTACGAATGATCAGGATGTTGCCCTCTGCACTTACCCTCTGTTGAATACTTTCTGCCTTGGTCTTTTTGCCATCATACTGACTTCTTATTTATTCTGGCTTGGTAGAAGAATCCTGCATTTGGTTATCAATAGGAGTCTGCAAAAGAGAGTATACATGCTAGTGGTATCAGTTTCTGCTTTCTTTCCTATAAGGGTTCTATTGCTTGGTTTAACTGTTAAAACTCAGCCAGAATATTTACCTTTTCAAGCTCTTGCATTTGTGGGTTTTGTTTCCTTCTTTTGTTGTATTGGGTTGGGCATCTTCATGCTCGTTTTCATGCCCGTGTGGGATTCTTTAGCATTGAAGAAGAGCTCAGAGAGGGATATAGAGGCTAGGAGAAGGTTAAGTGATGAACAAAATGATACTGTTTCTCTAATTGCTAACCTTGGAGGAAGTATGGTCAGCAGTCCTGGGAGAAATTCAGCTACCTCAACGAAGCGAGGATCCATCTCCTTTCGAACAACGGACAAGGATGAAACTACTTCAGGGGCCTTTGTGGAATTAAGTGTATTCTCTCCTAGTCAGCATTCATCCCCTCCTGGCTCACCTCAACTTCTTGGCTGGCCTATGCTACCACCCTCACAAGCTCAAGGTCCCTTATAGTTTCTTGGGGCTGTATCTTTCTTGTATTCTCCTATTACTGTCATGGTGGTGGATTATAACTGAAAGGTCACTTTTTTGGGTTTTATATCGTTTGTGTTCATTATCTGAGTGATTTCGATGTTTGGTACATTTTTTACTAGTAATAATTAGGACTTGCGAACATGATGGAGAGGTGAAATCTAACAAAATTTGCTGTATAAAAGGTTTTCTTTCATTCTTTTGTATTCCATATAGCTGAATATTGAGTCACCGAACAGTAGTTTGTATTGCAAATACACCTATGGGGAATGAATACTATATGAAGTTATGAACCAAATTTGCCCCGAAAGAAATTAAGTCGTGATGCCTGTTGGTTAACAGCTTAAGGATGCTAAGACCATTATAAGTCGACCTTTTTGTGGTTTTCCCCCCTCTTCTTCGTGTGGTTTTGACCTTTTTGTGGTTTCCCACCCTCTTCTTCGAGTGCTTTTCATTTGCCCTTTTGCCATCCAAGGTTTTTAACTTAAAATGAATTTACATTTTCCCAGCCTCTGACATTTATTATTAGGTCTTTAGCCCCTACAATCATCAAATTTCCTCTTCTGATAAGTCGTGACATCTACTCTATATGTGGTCTATGCAGGATAGCCACAGCCTTGCGAGATTCTAAGCTGTCTTTCAATGAAAAGTGGGTAGAATCTTTTAATAGAAAAGAATTAAGAGGAGATAAATAAATTAGAAGAATATTGCTTTCTTATGTTGAAGTGGTGATTTAGAGAGGAACTAATGGAAGAGAAGTGGGGAAAGACAAATTTCCTCCCACGAATTCCAAATTCCATTTCTTTTTCAGAGTGGATGGTCGGTCAAGTTAGGCTTAGCTGATTGTATCACTATTTAGTGAATTTAAATAAGTATAATTTGATCCAATTTGAGGGGCATTTCATTTTTTATTGTACATACAATTTCACAAATAATTTGCCCAAGACTAATTATTTAGATGTTTCTTTACAATAATTATGATGGAAAAGTTATCAACTCAAATTGAATGGATTTAAAATAATGATACATCATGGTTCGGGTTTAATTGTCTATCATTTTCATTTATTAAATAATATTTAAATAATCACTTGAAAAATTTGTGTTAAATTTTCAAGTTGGAAATAATTATCTACTAAGATCTAATTATGAGTTATTAAATGGCAGGAGGAATAAAAGTTTTCAATTGGAAGGGATGTTCTTAAAAGGCCCAATGAATTCATAATTGAAATTAAGAAATCTTTTTAAATTCATTTTTATTCAGAATTTAAGTTTTAGTGGGTTTGACTTTTAAAAAAAGTTCATTAAACCACTTGCTTCTAAATTATTTGTTTAGAATCTGATATTTATTTGGAATTTTTACGCACAATAGAAAACCTTAGTACCCTATTTATTTTAAATAAATACTATTTTAAAATATTACATCCTATAAATACCTTTTATCCTTTATAGCAAAAAATCTAAATATAATTACATTCTACAATTAAGGCACTATATATGCTAAATATTATTTTTCTCTCTCCCTTTTTGTATTTTCTCTCACATAATTACCCAAACCCCAATACAATCTCTCTCTGTTTGCATACAACCAGACTATCTTCTCTCACAAACCCTAGTTTCTTAACTCTTCTTCCACCTCCTCCGTCCAAGTAAAGCCCCAGGCCCAATCTTAAACCCAAGGCAACGTTTTTGCTCTCCGGCACCGGCGGCCTACAAACTGATCTGAACCGGAGATAGCTTCGGAGCTTTCAAAGTTCCGTGCTCTCAATTGTTGTAAAAGTTCGGTTATGAATTAAGGTATTCGGTGGAAATGGAAAGAGTGTTCAGTAAGCTTCGGAATTTGGACGCTTACACTAAAATCAATGAGGATTTCTATGAATTTGCCTCATGGCTGACCAGCCGGAATTAATGGCTGGCTGCCGGAATTAATGGCTGGCCGCCGGCCGGCGAAGCCATAGGGCCGTTTCTCTCTCTAGATCGCTCAAATCGCCTATTTGTATTCAGTTGTATTCGAACGTATTCTTCAGATGTATTCACTTGTATTCAGGTTTAATTAGTTGTATTTAACTATTTTATTCAGCAGTAGTTAGTTGCATTCAAGTGTTTTATACAACTGTATTCAGTTGTATTCAGTTGTAGTTAGTTATATTCAACTATTTTATTCAACAGAAGTTAGTTGTATTTTGTTACATTCAAGAGTTTATTCAGCTGTATTCAGTTGTATTTTTGTTGTATTCAAGTGTTTTATTCAGATGAATTAAGGTGTATTTTGTTGTATTCAACTGTATTATTCATATGTATTTCTCTTTATTCAACTATAATCTTTATTATGTATCTTTCAAATACAGATTAATGAGGGATCGTTTCAGTTCGTTGAGTTAATTTAGGAGAATATCATGTGATTTGATTTCCTTCCGTTTTTAGCGCAGATACGTTACTGTATTTAATGTTAGTGTCGCTTGAATACAGCAAAATACATGTCAAACTTAGCTGGAATTCCAGTTTTTACGCCTATATTTTTGGTTGTATTAATGAATACAACAGCTTAAATACATGGAATACATTGTATAAAAGGTATCTATAACACGTAATATAGCAAATGGTATCTATAAATGGCTAATTAAACCAAAAAGATGGTGCTTTATGAAAAATTCCCTATTTATTTCTTATTTTCTTTTAACCCCGCGCAAGAAACTGTTTATATTTGGTAGCTAAAAAAGTATATAAAATTTATATATTTTTTGTATATAACATACAAGATATATATATATAAATATATATTTTTTCTCGGCTATTATTTTGAGACAATACTATTGTTTCCATTATATACCATGTCAAAAATGTAACATGCTACTTTCGCCTCTATTTGAGAAAAAATGAGGGCTCTACTCCAATTAAGAAGCTTCATTTGGCGCCGGATAAACAAATTTATGACATGTATCACTCTGGTTATAGAAATAATTATCACTTAATTGTTGAGTTAAATAGGATTCTAAGTAAAACTCCAGGTAAACTGCGTTAAGATTTGAAAATATGATTTATGATCAAAGAAATAGAATATTAAACCATGACTAAGAAAATAAATCTAAACCGTAATAAACAAAATTTGGCTCGTTAGGATTTTATTCATAAAAATACCTTTTTGATTGTTTAATATTAAGAATGTATGAGTTAAATTAGCTAATATTGGTACATAGACGTGCATTTAAGTGTTGGAATGCAATTGATAGCTTTTAATTATCTCCTTATCTCACTTTTAACCTATATGAGTGAGATTTACTATATAAACCTTCTAAATAATCTTCAAAAAAGTTCTGCGTAACGATGCCTTAATCAAGAAACTAATGTGAACAGCTGACCATATCTTCCAAATAATAGAAATAATTTAAAAAAAATCCAAATGACAACTCAAGACAACTAAATAACAAGTTGCTGGTCAGATCATAAACAACTTCGTCGTGAAGAAATACGGCTGGCTAGCCGACAACAGAATAACAATTTAGTAATTCTAGGGTGTGTTTGGTATGAAAAATATTTTCCTAGAAAATGTTTTCTTGAAAAATTAGTGGTTTTATTACTTATTTTTTTTTGTTTGGTTGGTGAATGAAAATTTTTTTCGAAAAATATTTTTTAGTGTTTGGTTAAAGAGTATAAAATATTTTTAGAAAAATAATTTTTGATACTACTCTTCTCAAGCCACATTTCCCAAGATCCCCATTTTTCCTATTCTCCTCCCTCCCCACTCCCCCAAATCTATTTTCTTCGAGAATTTAATTATATTTTTAAAATTCACATAAACCCATAGTAACTAATATGTTACTTTACTTTTTCACGCAAGAACAACATTGAAGTTTGAGCTCGATAACTAAAAAGAAAATACGTTATTTTGTCCAAAAGAAAGTATCATTTCTACAACATGAAAAGAAATTACTCATTTTGTTGAATAAAAGAAAATACTCAATTTGTTGAATTGAAAGAAAATACTTTTTTCTACATGATGAAAAGAAAGTACTCGTTTTGTTGAAATGAAAGAAAATATTGTTTCTACTTTATGAAAAGAAAGTACTCGTTTTGTTGGGAAAAAAATACTTTTCCTATTTCAGGAAAAGAAAATACTTAGTTTGTTGAAATGAAAGATAACACTTTTTTTCTACATCATAAAAAAAGTACTCATTTTATTGGAATGAAAGAGAATACTTTTATTACATAAAAGAATATACTCATTTTGTTGAAAAAAAAATATTCTATCTACAACATGAAAAGAAAGTACTCTTAATAATAGTTCTATTTAGGNTGGGGGTAGAGTGGGTGGGCATGAGAAATAGGGTAGAGAAGGTTGAAAAAGAGTTTTGAAAAATATTTTCCTTTCTTTTGATAGGGAAAATATTTTCCTCTAATTGGAGAAAATGAGTTCATGAGGAAAATATTTTCTAAAATATTTAAGCCAATCAAATATGTAAAATTAGATTTTCCTTCATACCAAACACACCCCTAGTGTCAAGACCCTTGCTAACAAAATAATGCCGACCATGATATAATAAACATTTTATTAAACAAAATTGATAATGCATAAATGTTTAGGCAAACTCGCCATATGTTTAATTTTTGTTTGTTAGCGCTTGACTAATTAAATAGAGAAAATTTTGCTTGTTTGTTTAGCGAAATATTGCTTTCAGAGGAGTCTTCGATGACATTATTTAGCGATTAAGAGGTTATTTATTATTTATATGTAGTATGCGGATAATTTTAATGGTTTCATATTATTATTGTTTGATTAAACTTTTCTTACCCACATGTTACATGTATATCATATGAACAAAAAAAGGAGAGATCTACAGAGATTTATCTTGCAAATTGCCTATCGTTTATGTTTCCTCCTCCGAATTTAATTACCAAGTGAAAATTATGTACAGGCAAAGCACATCCTGCACGATCATCCTGCATAGCATTCTGCGCTCCTCTTTATACCTTGAAAGATTATGTTGTTCGTTTACCGTCGAATGTGAGAATTTTCGGCGCGAATCTGAATTTAGTCGGCCCCAATATGGATATCGGGCACCGCGTGAAAAAAAAAAAAAAAAAAAAAAAAAAAAAAAACCAAAAAAAGAAGAAGGAAAGATTATGTTGTTCCTCTCCTGCCTTGTATACTAGGGCCAATATCATTCTATAAATGTGGGCTTTGGCATTCTTTCATTAGCATACTTTCTCG